TTGTTAATAATAAGTATATCTTCTGCCAACCTAGCAGTTCGAAATACAAGTAGAAAAATAAGAACCACCTTTGGTGGGAAGATAACAGCGTTCCATGCACCTTTGGCACATGACCACAGAGACGTCTTCGGACAGTGCTGGCTCTTCAGCTTTGGAATGGAGATGAGCAACACCCACTAGAGTTGGGAACGACTAGCACATATGTGCAAGGGGAACCTTTACTTTTAAGCAGTCAGTACTGCTGGTTCTGGCAGTCAGTACTGCTGGTTCCGGCAGTCAGTACTGCTGGTTCGCTCGTGAATGTGCCATGCGATTGATGCTGCTGTGCACACATGTGCAGTACAATAAAAATTGTTCTGCATATGCGCAGAAGCAAAAACCAGAGAACCAGTTCGGGGGTGTGGCAGGTCTGGGTCGCTGCCACTTCCAGCGACCCAGGCCACCAAACCACTACCAGTTCGGCCGAACCAGGCTGAACCGGTAGGAACCCACAACTGCCTTTAAGTGATTTGAACAAATTCACCCCTCTCCTTTCTGGTGGAATCACCAATCACCTATGAAGTTGGTACTATTTATAATGCTATATTTTTCTGCAGGCTCACACACAGAAAGAAAGAACTTTAATGTCCCCCTCTGAATGTGTGTAAGTAACCAGAGAGGAATTACCATTTGCATGTCAAATCATGCAATCAAACTTTGATGTGATATTAGTCAAATAAAGCAGGCAATTTAACGGAATGAAGTAACTCCACTCTCCCAAATGCCACTCCGAGACCTATCATTGCAGTGCATAATCTTTGTGATATAAGAACAAAAGCAAAAAGATACTATTCCCTTGTTTGAATTGCCAAGGGCTTCACTGGAGTGGTATAGCGGCTGATAAGCTATAGCTTGGAGAAAAGTAAAATTAAGAAGGGTGAAGATGCTGCTCAGTATAATAAAGTCAAGATCATTATCTGAGTTCTGTCATGCATCAAGTGTCACATAAGTTATAATGCCCCATTTTAAGAAGAGATTGGCCTACTGCTGAAATGTCTGTTGAGCTGGCCAGGACCAGGAGTGTCGTATTGGTGTTCAGGCACTAATGGCTGACTTTTGGAATATTTTTGTCAAATTGACTGATACTAAGCTAGTTAGTAGTATATTTAAATTGGTGCTTTTAGTGTGTCTGATATTAGTTGGAGAACCGAACAGCAATGTTGATTTAGTTATTCTGATGAAGTTCAGTATTATCATTTCTCATGAACAACTGAAGATTCATTTTGATAAGTAGTTTGCAGCTATTTTTAATTAGTGTTGGCTGTAGAGTTTGCTCTCATAATGGATTTTGTTTCTTCCTGCTGCTGTCCCCAAACCAAATACTGTAACTAATGTACTGCTGTAACTCTCCCCAGCTGTCTAGTACTGAAAGCAAAAAACAAAAAAACAAATAAATCCATCTCTAGGCAAATAACATTTTAGAGTCTACCTTAGCTTCAAGTGGAAAAGGAAAGAAAAAAAGATGCACTCTGGACCATTTAAAATCTACTGTAAGATTGAAAAGATTGGCAAGGTTTCTGACTGGGCATTTATTTTATTTTTTTGCAGTAAAATTAGAAAGCAGAAGTATAATTAACCACAACAGAAAGGATTGTTTGATGGAAATAAATGTACTGATGATTGCTTCTGGCTGATGATCTCTCTTGCGGCTGGTAATGAGAATCTCAATTTTGCCTAGAAAACCTAAAGCAAAATTGGAATTTTAGGATAAACACTGAATGTCATTTCTTTCAGTTTGGGAACAAAGATACTTCTTTCATGTTAGTTAAGGCCGCATCTTGCTAATTCTGAAAGCACTAATGGCTAGCTGAGGCATTAAAAGGAATAATACATGCTTTTCTTTTAGAAAATGCATATAAGGAGTAAGAACAAATGTGTTTTTCTATTGCATAAAGGAGAGAAATTATGTTGCCATGTGTGCAAAAATATGATGGATAACGCAACAAAAAAAATTAGGTCTTTGATTTGGATTTGTTGCTATTGTTTTTCCAGCTAAATCAATTTAACTTGCATGCTTTCCTTCTCTTGGATCCAACAGCAAGGTCAAGTAGCATCTTTATGTCAGGTCATAAAACTGACTATAAAAACAGCTGGAACACTTTTACCAACCACTCTTGTGTTCAAAAGTTTTATTTCTTTTAAAACAAACATTTCATCATTCCTCAATCAGTAAGACATCGAAGTACAATTTTTTGTATGTCAAAATAATTCTAGTTTACCACCAAATTCTTGTCTAGCCTAATGCATACCCCATTCCTTCTTGTTGTCAACATTGTCAACATATAGACTGTGTGTGTGTATTCAGTGCTGTGTAATGTACTGAATTTTCCATTTCAATGTTTAATCGTATTGAGGAATGGNAACCACTATGGTTGGAGATGCTTAAACTGTCCCATCAAATTTCTTGCCAGACCTGCTTGCTTAATGATGGAAGGTTAGAAAGTCCTGCAAAATCAAAGGCCTCTCACCAGCATAGAGGAGATAGGGACTCCTTGAGTTACAACCATTCGTTTTAACGGCGAAAGTGAGAGCAGCCCTTGGAAGAAAGGACTGGAACCTCGCCCTTCCAACCTTGACACCGTAGCGTCTCTGCACTCAGACAATCCTAACTGGGCGTGACTCGCTTAAAAGACTGCCTTGCTTAGGGGCGGACGTTGTGGTCGTAAGTCGAGGACTGCCTGCATGCAGTGAGGCTTTAGGAGGGCCGTCTTTAAGAATGGTTTTGAAATTCCTCCGTCTGGCCTCTCAACTTTATCGCGCAGCTGGAAACCTTGAAGGATGCTAGCAAATAATAACCCTGAGCCAGTTTTATTTTTACCTGTCCCGGGTCAAAATTTAGCCAACTAGTAGAACCTGGCCCTTGTGTGTTCGTTGTGTATACTGGAACTTGCCTCCCACAGTTGTCCCCTATGTGTTTTCTTTTCACAACGAATGTTGTCGCGCAGCCTCTTCGGCTCTTGCAATCCGTAGGCAACTTCACTCCGCAAACTCCTGCTCCTTGCCAGGGTCTCTTGGCAGCAACCCCAAAAGGTGCCAGAGCCAATACCGTCCGGACCATCCCTGTAGTCCTCGTTTAGCGACTGCCTGGTCTCCCAGCCCCGATGACATTGGAGAACAAATCGATCCCCTTGCCCTCCTCCGCCCTCCCCTAGTCTTGGCACCAACCGTCACCACGGGAGTGTAAAACGAAGCAAACTTGCGATCCGACCATCGGGCCGCGTGGCGGTTTTATGCAAGCAACTGCTTCGCTGAGCGACTTAATGGCCCCAGTGGTGGTCGTTAAACAAGGACAACCCCCCCACACCATTATTTGCTGCCCGCATTCCTACACCTGGCGGAAATGCAAGCGGGGGTCTTTTTAAAACATATATATATATTTATACATATATATGTTTTATGCCGATCACCCTTGGCTAGGAACGACAGTGACTTTTGCCAGCGTCTGTGACTCGCTCGCTTGACCACAGATGACCCCACCTAAGTGGGGTTTGACCCACGCCGTTGTGCCCGTTTTCACGTCCAGCCCGATCGCTGGCGGAAGACGGCCATCCATTCCCCCTCCCACCCCCATTTCACAGATGACCTGCTGAGGCTCAGGGTGGGGCGGGAGGGAGGTAAGTAGGCAGCCAAGCTTAGAACCGCGCATCCCGCGCGTGCACGGGCCGTCACGCGTGTGCATGTGTGTGTGTGCGTGTGTGTCTGTGTACGCCTTCCAAATCGGGGACCCACTCATATTCCCCACGTTCCTCCCACCCCATCCCACCCCTCCATCCTATCTTTAGCTCCTTCGGGCCCCGCTCCCTTCCCCTTCCCCACGCCCCAGAGGTGCATGCACGAGCCAGCCAGGGCGCATCCCCTCCCGGTTCCCCCCGTCGTTGCCTTTCGGGTCAGGCTTACTTGTAAGGGAAAGTGTGCTCTGTCTCTTTAAATGTGAAAGGGAGAGAGAGAGAGAGAGGAAAAAAAACCACCCCACTCTCATCCCTTTGCAAGGCTATGGAGAGAAAATGCTAGAATCGTGCAGGATCATGACTAGAAAGCACCATCTCTGAGTAGCCACCGAATCTTTTGGAGCCCCCCGAGAGAAAGCCAGAGCACGCTCTCTCTCTCTCTCTTTTTCCCCCCCTTCCCTTCTTCTTCTTCTTCGGTTTTTTTTTCCCCTCCTGCTCCCCCCTTTCCCCCCCCCCTTTCTTTTCCCCTCCTCCTAGAGGCTGCAGCCATCCAGGCAGAAAATGCTCCTCCGGAGCAGATAGCCGAGTTCAGAGAGGTGTAAGGGTGGTGGTGGTTAGGAAAAGGAGGGTGGAGAGAAGAAGAAGAGAGAAAGAGGAGGTGTAGGGGGGGGTGAAGAGGAGAAAAAAAAGGAGGAAGGGGAAAAAAAAAGAGAGAGAGAGAGAGAGAGAGAGGAAAGCCCAGGCTGGACAAGGGAATGAGGCAAATCCTTATTCCTCTTTGCAAAGGCGGCAGGAACGGGAGCAGCGTTTTTCCTAGCCATGGAAACCATTTTTTTAAAGCGATTATTTGGGTGCAACGTTCACAGCCAGCGCTACTGAGGAGCCCGCTCACAGCTCTGCAGTGCTCGGCGGCGGCTGCGTTTCCAATGCTCTTTTGGGTACCGATGTGAATTTCTCGGAGGTTAAGCAGCACCCCTCCCCTTCCCCACCTCCAAAAAAAAAAAAGGAGAAGAAGAAGAAGAAGGGGAAAGAGAGAAGGAGCAAAAAAAGAGAGAGAGAGGAAGGCAAGGAAAACCTGCCAGGAAATTCCGGAGGCAGCATCCCCACTTAAGCCATCGTCCGCTGAACGAGAAGAAGGAGAGAGAAAAAAAAGGAAGAAGAAGGAGAAGGAGAAAAAGAGAGGGAGGCTCCAATGTGCTTTCCCCCTTCGTGTTGTACCGCCGCCGTGGGGTCTATAAGGCGCTAAACTATGCATTTCAAACAGCCGGGCTTATGTGAAAAGCAGGGTGAGAGCAAGGCGGCTGGCGAAGAGCGACGAGCACAAGCGGACTTTCTCCGTCTTTTTATCCATTTCTGCAGGATCATGTATTCATAAGGGATGAGGCGGGCCAAGGGGAGCGCAGGCCTGAACTGCGGCCTACTCATTCGGTCCAGAATCAGGCCCTCCACTACAGGAACAGAGAAGCCTTTGCCACAATCAAATCAGCATCATTGGTAAGCCGCTACCACACCCCTTGCCCTGTTGTCTCTCTCTCTCTCTCTCTCCCTCTCCCTCTCTCTCTCGTTCCCTCTCTCATCCTCTTCCCCCTTCCCTTCCCCATCACCCCATCTCCTCCTCCACTCCAGTCTAGGGAAGAGGGAGGGGGNAAGCATGCATAGCCTTTAGGAGGTTATAGAGTGCTCGGGGGGGGGGGCGGGGACGAGCAAAAATCAGCCCATTTTTCACTCTGCACGTCCATTTTTGTGAAGGGGCGGAATTTCGGGAGTATTCAGTGTATAAGACACAGCCAGATTTTCGCCCTCTCTTTTTGGGGGAAAAGGTGTGTCTCATACTCCCAAAAATACGGTACTTTATTGCTCCATGCCTGTTTTACAGGAATCTTCCCAGACTGGCAAATTCAGCTGGGAAAAAGCTAGATAAAGCTGAAAAGGCATGCGAGGGGATTCAGAACTTGCCCTCTTGTCTTTACCCAATGACTCCATGCTACTTCCCTGTTTGATCCTTCCTCTACTTTGTCGCTCTCCAACGGGTGGATCGATTTAGGCAAAGCCCAGGTCGGTGTGATTGTGTGTGTGAATGAATCGAAACGAAAGAAATGAACGTCCCCTCCCTCCTTTTTTAATTTTGAGGGAGTCTGAAGGCTGCCATCTTGAGCTACTGCAGATACTTTTCATGGTGGCAGTGTAGAAGCGTGTTTAAAAAAAACAAACAAACACAGCCAGTCCTTGACTTATGACCACAACCCAACCGGAACCTCCGCCTCTTCAGTGAGTCGATCCTAAGGGAGTCACGCCCGTTTTAACCACCTATTTTTCCCATACTTGCTGAGCCAATGACCAGGACTGTGAAGTGAGCCACTTTGTCATTAGTCAAACCTAGTTTGCTTGTCGGAAGACAACTGGAAATGGAGAGCATGTGTAAGTACAACACAGGTTACCAAGCTCACATGATGCGAAGGTTGTAAGTCCGAGGACCTGTTTGCAAGTTGCTTTTTTTTTTCAGCATGTCCATAAACTTTGAACAGTTGCTAAGTAAACAGTCATAAGACAAGAACAAGGGTGGCTCAGTGGCTAAGACGCTGAGCTTGTCAATCAGAAAGATCGGTAGCGCTGCGGTTCGAATCCCTAGCACTGCGTAACGGAGTGAGCTCCCGTTACTCGTCCCAGCTTCTGCCAACCTAGCAGTTCGAAATCAGGTAAAAAATGCAAGTAGAAAAATAGGGACCACCCTTGTTGGGAAGGCTACAGTGTTCCGTGCGCCTTCGGGAGTTGAGTCATGCCGGCCACATGACCACGGAGACGTCTTCGGACAGTGCTGGCTCTTCGGCTTTGAAACTGAGATAAGCACTGCCCCCTAGA